TGGGTCGGGAAGACCCCCTGGAGGATAGGATAACCACTCCAGTGTTCCTGGGCTTCTCTGGGGGCTCAGACAGTAAAGAACCCACCTGCAATGCGGGAGACCTGGGTTCCATCCCTGGTTTGGGAAAATTCCCTGGAGGAGGGCATGGCAACCCACTCCAGTATTCTTGCCTGGAGAATCCCATGGACAGAGGAGCCTGGCATGCTGCAGTCCACGGGGTTGCAAAGAGTTGGACGTGACTGAACGACTAAGCACACACACCCATCTAGGGAAAAGCACATGAACTGTCTGAGAATACCCCTAAGTGATGCTTTTTTTCAGGAGGATTTAATCATCAGATAACAGAGTAGCATGTATTTACTGTTTGTGGTCAGCATGGCTATCTTCTGCTGGACGTGGGGGTGGGAGTCAGGGGGAGCTAAGCAAAATGGAGGACCCAGGCCTGGGGAGTAATATTTGCATTTTTCTGTCTCAGCACTGTCCATCCCTTCAATTAGTGCCTTCCTAAGAACCATGTTTTTGATCCATGAAAAAATAATTTCTGAAGTAAAAATATATATCCTCAAGATAGAACCTTTCATCAGCAATCACAGGAAAGTGGAAATAAATACAGTACAATACAGTTGAAATCCACTAACAAGCTTTGCTTCATGTTAAATGACTGTTTATGGCAGATAGGCATTACTTAAAAGAAAACTTTTTGTCCATCCACTTTGCATTAAAAGTTTTCTAATCAAATCTGTAGTCCTATCCCCTGCTACTTTAGTTTTAAAACACACACTTTCTCCACAGACATGCTTACAGTTTGCAACTTTGTCCTGCAGACTCTACAGAATATAGTTAGCTACTGAAATAACTTGTCTGTGAAAATGCACAATGTAATTGTACCGGGTGATCCCCGATCTAATTGCGAGGATTTATATGTCATTGTCTGTTTCTTTCACTTCTATCTTCTCTATTTTACTGCTGTCCTCTTTTTAAACAGTGCACACACTTTTGCCCTCAAAATCCTGTTGCATAACATTCTCTGAGTGCTTAATGCGCAACTGGTACTCAGAAAAGAAATGGCGACACAAAGAATGATGACATCCGGTGTCTTCTCAGGGGCTGGCTCTCTGATGGAATTCCTACCCACAGTGTTAAGAGTCTCTTTTGGGCCACAGAGGCAGGATCAGCTTCTCACAATCCCCTGAGATCCTCTGGAAAAGGAACTAGATCTTCCTTATCTGGTGTATCTTTGCCTCCTGGCTCAACATCTATTGAACAACAATAGATGTTCAATAAATACTTATTAAATGATTAACGTCCAAGCCCTACTCATGCTGTTGTATGAAAAAGTTCATTCCTGGAAAAACAATATTCCTAATGGCAATTGTTGCAAAGGCATGGGGAGTGATACTGGTCCTGGATGCAGAGCATCCCTCAGCAAATTTCTCTGGTTGAGAGAGTGGATCCTTCACGGTCCTTGCCCATCACCACATCCATCCCGTAGCAACCCCAATCTGGTCTTCAGCCACTCAGGTCGCTACCTGTGGCTCCTCACTGTGTCTGACATCACACAGCACTCGTCCCCATCAAAGTGAAGACTTCCACCTCCTCCTCCCCTCGAGACCCTGCCACGGGCTTTCCACAATGGTAGCGAGCTTAGTAGAAGCCATGAGCCACATGCTGTAAATCCAGTTTCAAGCTCCACACTCTGACTTCCCCCAGAAGCTTCTCTCTCTCCAGCACAGGGTTCCACATAAGGGAGCGCAGCCCTTACGCATGCCGTTCCCTCTGCCTGCAGTCCCTCCCTGCTCCCCTAACTCATTCTTCAAGATGTAAGTCAAAATGGAATGTCTTCTGCTGACAGCCGGTCATCAGAGTTTGGTCTAATCCCTGAGTAGTGGTGCAGGCCCATGGAGCACACTTCCTGCATCCTGTGATATTTATTAGTTTATGGGATTATCTTCCATGTCAGACTGTGCATGTGTGTTAAGTCACTTCAGTCACGTCTGACTCTTTACGACCCTATGGACCATGGCCTGCCAGGCTCCTCTGTCCATGGGATTCTTCAGGTAGGAATACTGGATTGAGTTGCCCTCCTCCAAAGGGATCTTCTTCCTGACCCAGGGATCGACCCCACATCTCCTGCATTGGCAGGTGGATTCTTTACCACCAGCACCCCCTGGAAGTCAGACTGTCTTCTTCATTGTTGCTTCTTTGATGCTTAGCATGGTACCCAGTCAGGACCATAGTTACCTTCGAAAGATATGTAGAAAGGAAAGGAGAGGAGGGCAGCCTTTGTCCCCACGTTGGCTGAGGTGCAGTGTTATGACTGAATGCAAAGGACGGACGGAGAATGGGGGCATTGTTTGAGGGGTGGTGGGTTTGTCTAGGAGGGTTAAAATGTAGGCCTAGAGGCTCACTCAGTGAGACATCTCTTCCTAGGTTTGGGAGGCACCGAGCGATGGGTCTTACTGACGCTAGACTTGCTCACTTTGTCCCTGACTGCACTGGACTTGATGCGAATTATTTTCACGCAGTTTCAGGTATGTGGTAGAGCAACCAAAGCCCAGCGAACACAGAGTATTTTAAGTCTTGCAAAAATGGTGAGTTATAAAGGACCAAAGGACTGTGTCATCTCAGCTGATACCCCTTTCCAAAGCAGGCATAGCTGTCATCTGGAGCAGCCTACGACTTGACCTGGTTCACACCCACAGTGTTCCCAACCTGGCGGCATGCTGGGAGGATTCCCTCCACAGTGACGACACTCAGCTCCCCCACAGTTTCCTGGACCCAGGAGGAAACCCTAGGTTTGGGGTTGGGGGTGGAGGGGCGTGGATGAGCACGCTCAGATTTTTTTCCTCATTGGCCCTGGGGTTTTAAATTGCAACCTCTCTTTTAATTTTCCGTTATGCATCAGACACATCTGTGCCAGAAGCAGACAAATGTATTCCGTCTGGGAGGATGATCCCAGACGGCTATAAATTAGAGCCTGTGTACAGAGATGCCAAAAATGTGGCCTCGTGGTAGGGTGTCCCTGGGACCAGTCACCTCCTCCACCGTCTGCCCGGTGGCTGCAAGCCTTGGCCTGATGCCTCTGTCAATAGATTTTCGCTTTGTGTTTGGAAACTCTTTTCCACCGAGTGGCTACAGAGGTGGGGCGGGCAGGGCTGCTTGTGAGGTTCTGCTGGATACAGCCATCCAGGCAGCACCCCGAGGACAGGGCTATCCCAAAGGGCATCACTCTCTTCCCTGTACAAGAAACAGTAATGATCTCCAAAGCCAGTTTCCTCCCAAACTAAAGCCCAGCCCAAGAAAACTCACCCCAGTTTTTTTGGATTGATGAGATAAACTACCATATCAGGCTTTTAAGCTTATAATATACCTGCTTCACCCACAAAACTTCGAGAGGATCGTGCAAACAGAAAAGTCACCTGTAATTTTACCTTTCAAAGAAAAATATTCTTAATGTTTTAATAGTACTCCTTTAAATATTTTTCCATGCCTTGCTAATGTTTTTTAAACTGCAAAAATCTTTTAAAGCTGGTCGAGCAGCACAGTTTCTTTAGCTGTCCCTCACATTATCCAATTAATGCTTTCCTCTAAGTACTGGAAACTTTTAGTTGTTCCAACTCAGAGAGCCCAGCTGGTAGAACTCTGCGCCTCCAGTTCCTCCTGCAGACATCATGCTGCCCTACTGAAGAAGCTGGCCACCAAGGGAATGGGCCTTGGGGGAATAGAGGGTGAAAAGAGATAAAGTCTTCATATAAATCCAGTCAGAGAGCCCCAGCCCTTCACAGATAGCCCACAGACGGATCCTGTATAAATAGGGCTCTGACCCCGACTTTGACATCATTTTCCTTATTAAACCTCTGTCTCTGACTTTCATGCTTCTGCCTCCTTGTTGCCAGCCTCCGTGTCTGCTCTGCCCTACTGGGGCCAGGGCAGCCTCTGAACTAATGGTTCGGGGATGGCTTAGGCAGCCCAGCGCTAACCGGATGGGTTGGCTGAACCAGGAGGCTCTTTTTACATCTCTGCTCACTTTCCTGTGGTGCTTTGAGTCCAGAAGGTGCCAGTGAGTAACCGTTGAACTGATATAATGAAATTCGAGATGGTTGTTTGTGGAGAGAGAGGAAGCCATGGCGGGAGCCCGCTGGGACCGTCCTGCAGTGATAGGGAAGGTGTTCAGAGCCAGTGCGGAGCCTCACAGAAGCCCTCATAGCCGCAGAGAAGCAGGCAATGAGTCTAGCAGCCGCCAGCCTGCCCAGCCACCGCCTGTGCCAGCCACTCAGCCTCTCCATGAGCCACACAGCACACAGACCAGGCTTTTTCAGAAAATTATTTTTTCCTTTCTTGCTTTCCATGGAAACCCAAAATAGCAACCAAAAAAAAGAAAGAAAGAAACAGAAAAACCCCGGCCAGTTTCCCTCCTGCAGAACCATCCTCAGGCGGGGCAGTGCAGTGACCATGGTGGCCTGGGCGGGCAGGACAGGTTCTAGATGCTTCTAAAGTGGCTTTCTAACTGGGCACTGCACACTCAGGAGGTGTGGGTGGGTTCTGAGGTTGGCGTGTTTTCTTCCTATTTAGAAAAGTGGGTGTCCCCCAGGTCTGGGAGTTCATCTTGCTCTTGGTGACCTCTCTCTGGTGCTGGTGAGGAAGTCCAGAGTACCCAGCAGGGAACAATAGGACAAGGAGCAGATAGCTTCCAGGGGGACTGTTGTGGGAACTCTTTTTGAGAAGCGTCCTAGGTTAGACTGTGCCTGCCCCGTAATCGCAGGGCAGCCTGACAGAATGGGAGAAACTCTGAGCTTGGAATCAGGAGAGCCCAGCTTTTAACATCCCATCAGGGACCTGGGGTTGGGGACTCTGAGCACATCATTCCACCCCCACTATATGAAAGATGAAGAGGGGTCCAGCTGGTTTTTCAGGGGCCACTCTGCCAGCCCCCAGTCTCCCAAAGCAAACACACACGTTCCCCTCCCTTGTAAACACAGGCTGTTTCCCTTTCAGCTGGCAGGGTCGGCTGTCATTGCTTTTGGACTATGGTTTCGGTTTGGAGGCTCCATGAAGGATTTCTCCTCGGAGGACAAGTCCCCAGAGTACTTCTATGTGGGTGAGTAACTGCAGCCTCTCCCTCTTTAGATGGGGTTGCCCGGGCTTAGAGGGGGGGCCTGCAGCTGGACTTCCATGGGAGGGGAACGGAGGGAGAGAAAGGAGGCAAATCAGAGCCCCAGATGCCCACCCAGGCCAGGCAGAGGGAAGAGGGCCCTGCTACCCCACACCTGGTTCATCCCTCTGCTTCCAAAACCGAGGACGACCAGGTGGGACTGAACGGTTGTACTTCTTTCAGCCACTTCAAGAAAGAAGCCCAGCACGTAACCACAATTCATGTCCAAAGAATTGGAAAACCCCGCTGCACCCCCTGAGTGAAGTGGGTACACGACAATGTCAGTCCTTTGCTCATCCATAGGGTGACAGGGAAGCCCTGCCCAGTCAAGCTCTTGTTTTGTGTATTTGTGATTTTGTGTATTTTAAATTGTCTAGGAGAGACACCTGACTCAAAGAGAGACAGCTCAAGGTGTGGAGGGGCTAATCTGAGTCCCTCCATGACTAGGGACTGCAAAGGGGAGAGGAAGTGGAGCAGAGTGGGGTGGGGAGGGCAGGGAAGGGAGTGGGGGCAGGAGAGCTTCCCTGGGCAGAAACCTCAGTGTGGGAGGGATAGTTCAGCCTTCTTCCTGCAGAAAGGGGTGAGGAGTGGGAAGCTGGTATAGACCATGTGATAAGTTGAGGCTGAGAAACTAGTGTATAACTAAATGCCAACTTAGTGGTGTTTGCAGTTGGTGCATCAGGGGTCATTCTAAACTGGTGAGGCAAGAAGGATTTGAGTTAGGTATGAAAAACCAACCTTAATCAATAGAGAAGAGGACGATTAGGGACTGAAGAGGTTTGGGACACAAGGCATGCCTATGAGACAGTGATTAGCAAGCCTAGGCTGGGCAGATAACTCTTACCAGAATGTAAAGCATATGGGCATGGAAGAAATTACGATTAGAAGTGTTGAGAAGGGAGGGAGGACAGATACAGAGGGCCTTGAATGTCAGTGCTAGTTAATTTAATAAACAGTAGAAGGGGGGCTTCTCTCATGGCTCAGTGGTGAAGAATCTAATGCCAACGCAGAAGCATAGGTTCTGTCCCTCATCCAGGAAGATAGCACGTGCCTCTGAACACCTAAACCCATGTAACACAACTACTGAGCCTGTGCTCTAGAGCCCAAGTGCCACAAATACTGCACCCCGTGTGCCCCAGAGCCTGTGGTCCACAACAAGAGAAGCCTGTGCATGGCAGCTTGAGAGGAGCCCTCTGTCTCCACAGCTAGAAAAAAGCCCCACACAGCAACGAAGACACAGCACAGCCAAAAGTAAATAAATAATGCAGTTTTAAAAAACAAAATAAACAACAGAAGGATAGTTTAGAGTTTGGAGGAGGGTACAATCAATCTACAGGGCTTCCCTGATAGCTCAGTTGGTAAAGGATCTGCCTGCAATGCAGGAGACCCTGGTTCGATTCCTGGGTAGGAGAGATCCATTGGAGAATGGTAGGCTACCCACTCCAGTATTCTGGCCTAGAGAATTCCATGGACTGTATAGTCCATGGGCTCACAAAGAGTCAGACACAGCTGAGCGGCTTTCGCTTTCACAATCAATCTACCTTGCATTTTAAAGAGATTATTCTGGAATGAGAGGGGAGGACAAAAAAGACCATGCTAGATTATTGATACAGTCAGACCTGAAGAAATAAGGGCATAACCCATGGTGGTAGCAGTAGGAATTGTGAAGAAAAGGATAGAAAGGCAAGAAACTTTATTAAGCATTATTAAATGTTACTATTAAACATTGTTAAACTCAGGGACAGAAGGAATCAAAACAAAAAAAGGTATCAGTGATAAGAGTCAAACATAGAAGTCACAACTCATGATTTTCAGATGGAAACCTGAGTTACAGAAGTCAGGGACCCTGCTGGGTTAGAGAAGGGGTGAGGGTGTGGAAGGAAGGATGAAGGCCAGTCTGGGAGCAGCCTCTATCTGTCTTCCTCCAGAAACAAAGCACTGATAGCCATTTCACAGGTGTAGATTTGGGTCCAACAAAAGAAAAACTTTTCAATGGTTTGATAAACCAAAGAAGCTGAGCAGATTTCTATAGAAAGTGACCCCTCTGATACATTGGTATTTAACCAAAAATCCAAATGGATCTTCTATGCATACAGCAGATTCCTGCACTGAGTAGGAGGGTGAACTAGCTCCGAACATTCCTGACTCTATTTCCAAATCTAAACTAAAGCAATATGAACTGCCCAAGATGCAAGAAATGTCACATGTTTGTGGATGTATTTGTCAGGACTCTTTCAATTGCAAATCGCAGAAACTTGACTCAAACTGTTTTGAGCAAAACAGAAATTTCTTGGCTCATAATGGAAAAATCAGGATTAATACTCATCTTAGGGACACAAGTGATGTGATCAGAATCCAGTCTGTAGCCATCTCTTAGCTCTGTTTTCCTGTGGCTCTAGTCTGGGGCAGATTCCCCCTAGATTTGATAGATCGGCCACCCACAGCTCCAGGTACCATCTCCTAAGTAACCATGGCAACAGTGTGCTCCTCTTCCAGCTGACTCAACCAAAGTCCTGGGTCTCACTGTCATTGGCGGTCTTGGGTCCAGTGCCCATTCCCACACCAGTGCCTGAGACGGGCTTGTTGGCTGAAGCCTGGGCCTCACACCTGCCATGGAGCTGGGGCAAGTCAGCCCTCTCAGACCACATGGGCTGAGAGTGAAGGAGGTTCTTTGTCTAATAGAGAAGAAAAGGCAGTGAACTCAGGGTGGGAAAAACAACAGCCCCCACAACAGGGCCTGAATCCTTCCCGCTTGCTCCTGGTGACCTGGGATGTGGGCATGGGCCACCCTTGGTTCTTCCTCAGTCACACCTCCCCTCTCTAAGTCACCCACAATGGGCTGGTGGTGAGAATGCTTATGTTCAGTGCTCAAAGTTCAGAGAAGAGAGTTATCACAGAGTCTTAGTACTGAACAGAAAAAGGAGACTAAGGGCCAGGGCGTGAAACAGACAGGAAAGGGGGGCTGGCAGTCAGCTGTGGTTTTCCAGCTTTTCACAGTGGGGCTCAGCCCTCAATCCAGGTTTGCCAATACCTAGGCCTGTGCTTATTCTGTTTGTTTTCCTGTGTTGTTTCTCTGGTGAGTGCCAACAAAGTCCTTGTGAAGTCGGGAAACTTCTCTCCATTTCAAATATTTCTTATAGATAGAAAGAGCAATATACATGTTTATAGAAGTTGGTATTTCTTTCCTCAATAAATAATTTTCCAAATAGGAAAGATACCAGATCTCTTGTAATAAAATGAAAAGAAAAAATGTACCAGGATGCCATTTTATGGACTTGCATAGCAAACAGTATGAGGTAATAGGACTTTAAAGAAGAAGCAGGCCCAGTTTTTGGAAAATCTCACTTCATGTCGCTAGGTACTGTGCACTGAACTGTGTATTTTCTTTTCAGAATAGGTTCCAGAGCAATCAGCACATTAAACTCTTATCACCACTTTGTTAAAGAGCCCTGGAGAACAAGCTTGGCCCATTAAAGTGCTCTTAAAGAAACACAACCTTTCCCTGAGAGGGACCTCAGGAAGGCATGTGGTGTAACTCCCTGCTTCTGGGCAGATGACTGCCACCCTTTGTAGGAAATCCTTCTTCCTCTGGGGCTTCCCAAATGGTTGTTGCTGTTCATTCCCTCAGCTGTGTCTGACACCTTGTGACTCCATGGACTACATGCCAGGCTTCCCTGTCCTTCACCATGTCCTAGAGTTTGCTCAAACTCATGTCCATTGAGTCAATGATACTGTCCAACCATCTTGTCCTGTCACCCCCTTCTCCCACCTTCAATCTTTCCCAGCATCAAGATCTTTTCTAATGAGTCGGCTCTTCACATCATGTGGCCAAAGTATTGGAGCGTCAGCTTCAGCATCAGTCCTTCCAATGAATACTTAGGGTCGATTTCCTTTTGGATTGACTGGTTTGATTTCCTTTCAGTCCAGGGGACTCTCAAGACTCTTCTCCAACATCACAGTTCAAAAGGTGCTATTGGTAAAGAACCCGAGTGCCAATGCAGGAGACACAAGTTCCATCCCTGGGTCAGGAAGATCCCCTGGAGAAGGGCATGGCAACCCACTGCAGTATTCTTGGCTGGAGAATCCCCAAGGACAGAGGAGCCTGGCGGGCTACAGTCCATGGGGTCGCAAGAGTCGGACACTACTTAGCATAGCACGCTGCACTTCCTCCTCTAGGGGGATGCTTTCCTTTCTGGGACCCTTGTGTCTTCCTCCTAGGTGATGGAGAGAATGTCCCTTCATATAATAAAGATCTGGAATTGACTTTATAGTTAAGGATCAGTGTGGAGAGGATCCAGCTGTGAGGGGAGTTAGAAATGAGGCCAGGGAGCCAGGGCAGTCACACTGACAGCACCTACTGCCTCTTCTCAAGGACTTCTGAGTTCAGGTCAAGACCTGGAGGCTGACCCAAGGTATTACATCCACTGGTTGCTAGGCTGGAGAAGGGAGAGCCTGGCAAGAGTGGAACTGGCAACAAGAAAGGCTAGGTGACTTGGTGTTTCCCAGACCCTCTTCATGTTGGTCTCCTTCACTCTTGGGAGAAACCCCCAATGTCTTCAAAGTTCCACTAACATGCCACTCTGCTCTCCCATTACAAGTTTTCTCTGGGGCTGCCCCTTAGGGGTATAGACAACACAGGGGTCTTCCTTCCAGAGGCACAGGGTGGGGAGAGATTCCCTGGGCCCTCAGGAAGCTGGAACACATGAAGTCATGTTTGTGAGGGAAGGATGGAGGCCATCAACAGAATCCTCTCCAAGGGGAAGGAGCTGCCTGCTCAGACTCAGCCACTCACTCTCTGGAATCCCAGGTTGTCTGTGGCTGTCCCTCAGCGAATACAGAGCTGCAGAACCTGGCTTTGATTGTGGCTAGATGTCATGTGTAAGGTAAGCGTTCCAGTGCTGAGTGTTTCGGGGCTTTTTAAAGAGTCTGACTCACTCTGGTAATAT